TTTGGAGATGTTACGTGACGCATGCTTGGAAAGTACTCAGATACTGCAAGGGCTCAAGTAGAAAGAAAATGTTTTGAGAATGATGAGGGCAACAAATGTACAAATGTGCTTTACACACAATGGATGTACATATGATTTGTCGACATCAGCATCCTCACTGTTAGCACACCTCATACACACAGAGCCGTCACATATCTGTTAACTTCCCAAAGCCAACAATCGGAATGAAGCAGGAAGCGGACTTTTGCCTAGCTGAAATGACAGCACACATTTATACAAACAGTGAGTGCTGATTGTGATGGTAAATGATAGAAGTAGCTAATGTCAATTGCAAACTTCACAATGTGTGTAAGTAACTGTGTTTAGAGCTTTGACATTTTTGTTGCTGTTGTTGTTAGATCCCATTAACTGTGTGGTCCTGTGCCATCCTTAAAATTATTATGTTTTTGAACCCACTGTTGTCATTGCATCAGTCTGTCTCTTTAAGGGTCTTTCCTTTATTTCTGATCTTCTACTTTACCAAGTATGATGTCCTTTCCCAGGGACTGTCTCTCATAATAACATACCCAAAATATTTAAGACAAAGTCTTGCCATTCTCAAATCTAAGGAGCATTCTGGGTGTTCTTCCTCCAAGACAAATTTGTTCTGGCAGTACCTTGTACTTGAATATTCATCTCCAACACCATAATTCAAATGCATGGTTTCTTCCTTATTTATCATCCAATTTTCACATCTTATAAAGGTGATTGAAGATGCTATGGCCTGGATCAGACGCATCTTAGTTCTCAAAGCAATATCTCTGCCCTTTAATGTTTTAAAGAGTCCTTACACAGCAGATTAACCCAATTAATTGGGCCCACCCTTTGATAATTAAACATACTTTCTACTTTATCAGATTTGTTAGAGAGGTGCTGTAGAAATTTGCCTAATGGCACATGGCTGGTCAGAGGCTCTTCTACACCCAGTTTGGATCTATCCAGTTCTGGGAGCCCTGTTCCTAACCACTGGAATGATTAGGAACCACTGGCTTCCCAACACATCAGGGAAAGTTTAGTTTATATCTGCTCAGCGAGTCAACGTCAGTGAAGCAAATGTGTTTGCTGGGTGTCCTTTGAGTGTGCTACCCTTGGAAAGTGTGATAAACTGAGGACTTGGTAGAGTGTATTTGGCCTTCTTTCTCTTTTTAAAAAAATCATTTTATTGGGGGCTCCTACAATTCTTATCACAATCAATATGTACATCCATTGTGTGTAAAGCACATTTGTACATTTGTTGCCCTCATCATTCTCAAAACATTTTCTTTCTACTTGAGCCCTTGGTATCAGCTCCTCATTTCACCCTCTTCATCTCTGCTTCCCCCTCCCTCATGAACCCTTGATAATTTATAAATTATTATTATTTTCTCATATCTTACACTGTCCGATGTCTTCCTTCATCCACTTTACTGTTGGCTGTCCCCCCATGGAGGTGGTTATATGTAGATCTTTGTAATTGGTGCCCCTATTTGGTCTTATTTCTATGCTCGCAACCATGGGCACTCTTTTGAGAAAGATCTCCATTGTTCTGAGATAGAAATGTTTTCAAATACAAGTTCTCCTGGCAATAGCCCTCCATTAAGGAGCAGTCCTAAAGGAGCTACCCTAAAAGATGTCTCACACTTGCATCTGGCTACTCACTATGCCTGAGGTTATATGTAGATAAGAGTACTCAGGTTCTATAGCCAACCCACCGTGAAATGTAGCAAACTCTTCTGATAGATTGTTCCCCTGGAGAGGGCTCAGGAATGTCCAGGGTCCACTAGCACTAGGTCAAGATACTGAGTCATTTAATTGCTTATTTATTATGTTAACCACTTACAATATTACCGATTGCCTCTGTAATATGTCGGCTGTATGACGTGTATGCCTTTTAAAAGCTCTGTAAGCCCATCATATATACCCATTGGGAAATGCATTCACTCTCTTGATCCTGGCCTAGGGACAAGGAGCCCCTATGCCCCGCTGTCTTTCTGTCTCTATTAGTTTCCACAATTGCAAAGTCACTCCTGAGGACCCATTTGAGTGTTGGGGGTTGGGGGTTGGGGGTCCGTACCCTGACAGTACAGATTAGGTTTGCAAAGGGACATGGAAACAAGTGAATCCATGATTCAGAATGGTGTGAGATAGTAAGCATGGTGATCACATAAATGAAACTTAAATGGGCGCTATTATGGGCCCACTCATAACCCCTAATCTTTCTAGTGTGGGGGAATGAATTTAATATTTTAAGATTATTTCTTTTGCTTCCTCAGCGTATTTACTATCTTTCCCTGGAATTCTACATGGGCCGGACGCTGCAGAACACTATGGTGAGCTTAGGTCTTCAGAATGCTTGTGATGAAGCTATTTATCAGGTACAGTGTTCTATAAATGAGCTCTGGGTCATCTCAAATCCTCTCATAATACATTGGGGTTTAAATATAATTTTTCAGAGAGGTAAGCACTGGTGTTAAGATTTGCAGCTGTTTGGGAATAGGAACATGTCATATAATGTAGTCTACTGTACACAAATGAGAATGTGACTGATGAGGAGCACTCCTCTTTCTCAAGAGAATAAAGAGAGAATTGAATGAATTGAATGGAGTGTAAGGACTGGGTTGAATTGTGTATGCTACATTGTAGAGGGTTCTAGAAACCATTGCGCTCCTCAACTCCACTCTGGACGTGGACAACATTATTTGTTATTGTCCCATTTCTACTTACATTATTAAACGAGTTACCTGCTTCTGGTATCCCTTCCCCACCCATAAGATAACCTCTTAATCCAGCCTACCTTGTTGTTGTTGTTGTTGTTGTTACGTACTGTTGAGTTGGTTCCAATTCATAGCAACCCTGTATGTACAACAGAATGAAGCACCATCCAATCCTGTGCCATCCTCACAATTGTTCTTCTGTTTGAGACTATTGGTGCAGCCACTGTGTCAATCCATCTCGTCAAGGGCCTTCCTCTTTTTTGTTGCCCTTCTGCTTTACCAAACATGATGCCCTTCTCCAGGGACTGGTCTCTCCTGATAACATGTCCGAAGTATGTGAGACAACGTCTCAACATCTTTGCCTCTAAGGAGCAGTCTGGCTGTACTTCCTCCAAGACTGATTTGTTTGAACCAGCCGGTGGTACTTTCAATATTTTCCACCAAGACTATAGTTCAAATGCATCAATTTTTCCACCCTACCGTATAGTTATAATATTGTCCGCCCCTCCATTTCCCCCCCTAAGCACAGTTCAAACAGTATTTCCTTAACCATTCTTCACTAACAGTCACTCATTCTAAGACTTTATATTCCAAACGTTTACTTGCAGCTTTAGAGTAAAATCGTAACTGGCAGCATTTCTATTTTTGTAGTCTGTGTCTGTTACTTTCTGGTCCTGAAGACTGCTTTTCTATCCCAGTTGACTCTCTAATGTTGAATGCCAAACATTAGAAGTAGGATGGCCTCTATTTTATTTGCATATGTGTAGAGGGATCATCATTGGCACTCTCCTTTCTTCCTGACTTGTCCACTGCCTTGTTTATATTTAGTTTTGTTTTGAGCATGGGGTTTTAATAGAATGCGCACTTCAGTTCAAGGACAACTAGTATAACTCTGGTGTAATCAGGACCTCTTTTCTGCCCTTCTAGCACTAGGAATATTCATATATGTGGCAAGTAATTTTATACATCCCATGTTCTGAATACTAATGAATGTTTGCTGATTTTTCCTTCATTTTGAGTCATGCCCCATGATCAAATGAAAGTCCCGCAAATTTTATTCCACTTATGTCATTATAATAGACTCTAGTTTGAGGAGGTGTAGCTCTTCCCATTTGTATTTTGAGTGCCTTCTCACATTAGGAGCTCCCCTCCTAGTACTGTATCTGCTTTTCATGAAGTTTTCAGTGGCTCATGCATCAGAAGCAGACAGCATGTTCTTTCTTTGTGGTCTGTTCTTAGTCTGAAAGTTCCACTGAAATGTATTTACCAGAGGTGACCCTGCTGAGATTTCAAATATTGATGGCATAGCTTCCAGCATCATAGCAACACAGAAGTCACCAGAGTACTACAAACTGATAGATTAGTGGTGGACCACAGGCATAGAATGTAGGATTTACAACACATCACAAAATGGAAGATAATTATATCAGACCACATAATGGAGGATGAGCATATCATTAAGTGTGTCCCAAATTATATCATTTCAAACTGCCAAACCACTGAAAATCAATGCCCAGTCTAGTTTACATATACCTTAACCATCCTATGTTCTATACACCTTGGTATCAAGCTGTCCAGTACCCTTGATGAGCAGCAAATACCTTATTTGCATAGCCTGTGGGCGATTTACAGTAATTCACTGTACCACAGAAGTACAGAGCAAATAATTTCTCAGTCATATCTTCAGTGGATTCTTTATCAGTGGATTTCATATTTTTCTAGACACTTTCCCTTTCATTAGAACATTTTAGATCTATATAAAACCTGAGTAACTTTTTAAAAATAAGCTTACTTCCCCTACTTTTATTATCACCATCTTCACCCCTTTGGCCAGGCTACTCCCAGATTGTTTAAACCAATATCAAATAGCATAGTATTTCACTATGAATTTCAGTATGCATTTCTGACAGATGTTTGTGTTGTTAACCTGCCTACAAGTCAGCCTCTGACTTATGGCCACCCTATGCACAAAAGGGGCTGACCCTTGTGATCAGAAACATCTGCTAACTGAATGATTTTCATTGGCTAATTTTTAAAAGCATACTTTCAGGCCTTTATTCCTACTCTTTCTTAGGAAGCTTCACTGAAATTTGTTCACCAGCATAGCAGCATAAGCCTCCACTGAGAGATGAGTGGGGGTTATACATGAGGTACATTGGCTGGAAATTGAACTTGGATCTCCTGCAGAGAGAGCAAGAATCCTACAGCTGAACTGCCCCTGAACTCTATAAAAAATACCATTTCTTAAAAACAAACACATTATTATGACTCTTAAAAAACTAACTAATTCTTTAAAATCATCAGTTTTTCTAACAGTGTACAAGTTTCTGATACTTTATAATTTTTTCAACAATATGTTCAAAGATAAAAGGCTAAGATCCACAAACTGTATTTGCTTGTTTTATCTCTTAATTTGTTTATTACTCCTCATTTTTTTCTACCTTGAAATTTATTTCTTGAACTGGGCTTGTCCTATAGTTTTCTGTGGTCTGGAATTGACTGGTTGCATGCAAAATTTAAATAATCCACTTTAGCAAAGTTACAAGATACAAGATCAATCTACAAAAATCATCTATATCTACACACTGGAAATAAAGTCTGAAATGAAATTAAGAAAACAATTCAATTTACAATAGCATCAAAAAGGATAAACTATATAGGGATAGATTTAACAAAATAAGTACAGACATACACTCTGAAAATTATAAAACATCTGCTAACTGAATGATTGGTGGTTTGAACCCACCAGCGACTCTAGGGAAGAAAGATGTGGAGTCTTCTTTCACAAAGATTACAGCCCCAGAAACCTGATGGGGCAGTTTTACTTTGCCACACGGGGTTGCTATGAGTCAGAATCGATTCAATGGCAATGAGTTGAATTTTATAGGGTTGTATGTGTTGGAATTGACTAAATAGCACCGGCTTTTGAATATAAGTTTGTAATATCTAAATATGTCTTGTGGAACATATTAAGTAATACTAAAATGTCACTTCTGTTTGTATTTACAGCTAGGGCTGGACTTGGAGGAATTAGAGGAAATAGAAGAAGATGCTGGCCTGGGTAATGGAGGCCTGGGGAGGCTGGCAGGTAATCACTGGCACTTGTCCTGGATAAACTTGGTCCTGACTACTTGTCTTGACTGGTGATCTTATGATAAGGGCAGACATGCTTCAGATGCTGACATCTGGGGTAGATTTGCTTTCCCAACAAATCATATCAAAATCTCTCATATCAAAATATTTATGAAAACATAAAATCAAAATATATGTTCTCTTTCATACAACTGGCAATTCATAATTATCATTGAGACTGAGCTGGGAGGGGTTCCAAATAGATAAGCTACTCTTAAGTGTCTAAAACCCAGTACAGTGAGACTTGAAAAAGCCAAAATTTATGTAAGAGTTATGTGGCAGAGAAGGAAAACTTAAATAATTTCAACGAAAACAACCAATAGAAAAGTCATGAGACCACACTGTATCAAAGGTGGAAACTTGTGAGACTTGAACGATAAGGCAGTCTTGTTCATTTATAACCCTTACGAGTTTCTTTATAAATGAGGAAAAGGGAGTTGTATAGAAACACACATATACACTACATATATTTACAGATACACACATATCCCCCACCACATAATTTGCACACATACACACACTGCTACAATGCTTTCTCTCACACACACACATCACATTGCATACAT